TGAATTGCTATTATCTCCACGCTTCGCAAACAGGTTGGAGATTGCAGTATAAAAGGTTCAGGTTTATCAGAGAGCGCTACTGCACAGTCTCTGTCAAATGTACAGTCCCTGATTGATTGATCAGGGATTTCTGCTGCACGGTACAAAGATATTAATATAGTAACTATTTCTTATGCGATGTGAAACGAAAGATATTATAGAAAAACAGTGATTAATGTAGTGTAGAGATTGTGCAGTCAACTGATGGTAGCGGTGACTGTCCAGGCGACACACGTACTTAGGTATCATCACGTTTAGATAAAAACTTTTTTTTATAATAATCTATACGTATAACTAATGTTTTATAGTTTTTATATGTTATGCACAAAGAAAGTATGTAAGGAGCGTAGTAGGTGGCGCTCTGTAGTTTCTGTATACCATCAGATGTATGAATGTGATGTAAGCTAAAGAAGTATGTAAGGAGCGTAGTAGGTAGCGCTCTGTAGTTTCTGTGTACCATCAGATGTATGAATGTGATGGAAGCTAAAGAAGTATGTAAGGAGCGTAGTAGGTGGCGCTCTGTAGTTTCTGTATACCATCAGATGTATGAATGTGATGTAAGCTAAAGAAGTATGTAAGGAGCGGAGTAGGTGGCGCTCTGTAGTTTCTGTATACCATCAGATGTATGAATGTGATGTAAGCTAAAGAAGTATGTAAGGAGCGTAGTAGGTGGCGCTCTGTAGTTTCTGTATACCATCAGATGTATGAATGTGATGTAAGCTAAAGAAGTATGTAAGGAGCGTAGTAGGTGACGCGCTGTAGTTTCTGTATACCATCAGATGTATGAATGTGATGTAAGCTAAAGAAGTATGTAAGGAGCGTAGTAGGTGGCGCTCTGTAGTTTCTGTATACCATGGCACAAAGTTATGAATATGTAGCTATACTATGCACAAATATATATTAATTGAGCTCAATTTATTTTGAAATACTTATATGTTCGTACTTCTAACTTAATTTTGAAATATATTTTTATAAATATAACGAATATATATATATATATATATATATAGTCGGCAACGTACTCACGCTAGTGTTACAATTGTACTTGGACTACGCTGTCTTACAATCAGGATAACCGTAAGCATTGTTACTACCGATACTAGTATAAACAAAATTATTGCAATGAGAGTTTAAGGCGTCATTGTATATATATAGATCTTTAGCCTTTTTATAAAACGTGCACAAAGAATGCGAATTGCAATTACTAATCTCCCCAAAACCTGAATCCCCACCAATCCTCAAATTCTTCGTTCCGTGTGTCCATGGGCAACGCTGATTGCTTACCATCAGGTGATCCGTCGTATCATTTACCGCTCTATCCTATAAAAAAAATATATTTCTGTAATTTTATTGGGTATAGTAACATCGATATATTTTTCAGTGTTTAAGTAATTATCATTAAAGTATAGAGTCTGGATTTGTGTCTAGTTGCTGGTAATACACTCACCCCCTATGACGTAGGGGACTCGTAACATAGCTGGTAAAAAATGGGCGTTATATAATAATTAGTTAAATTGAATAGAAGTTACCATAAGAGGCTTTGAATTGTTATATTTTTTATTTTTCACAAAAAGTAATCGTTTATTTTTTGTTTTATTCCAATTTTGTACACATTTTAATATTGACTATCGTGAGACATACTGAATTGATTAAAAGTAACTTTACTGACGTAAATATACTGAGAAAAACTCCACTAATTTGATGACGCGATAAGGATGATTTTTGCTGCAAATATATCACATCTTAGTCACTATGTACTTCGCGGAGAACCTAACAGGTTACCGGGGCTCCGGCTCGAAGTTCAGGAGAAGGAACGGGGTGGTTTTTAGTCAGTAAGAGTCTGACACTCCCCCCCGATGATGTTCCCCCCTTAAAAAAAGTCACTATATTCTACATACACCTTTATTTAGCAAAAGCTATTTGATTTGTTTTGATTGTATAGTGCAGACACAGTAAAACTATGTTATTTTTTTTTAAGCGGGGAAAATCATCGAATGACTGCTCCCGCCTGGGTGAGGGGGAGGGAGTGTCAGACTCTTACTGACTAAAAATCACCCCGTTCCTTCTCCTGCGCTTCTAGCCGGAGCCCCGGTAATGCGTTAGGTTCTCCGCGGCTTCGTATCGGCATCAGCCCTGTTGGGCCCCATCCGTGGTGGTCTGATGGCTCTTAAGGCGCGCGCCTAACGGGTAAAACTATGTGTAGACACTCCAAAGGTTTATTTTAACCCATAGTGTGTCTAAACGTGGACACAATGTATTTTCTATTGTGTCTCATATACAGGCATTCAAGCGGTTAATAAGAAATAAATGCTAGTGGACATTATATACAAAAAGGTTAATACAAGTTACAAATATGTAGGTACAAATAGAATTATGCATAGATGCTGTAATGTCGGCCCACTTAGACAAGTTTCGAGTAACAGAGGACTCGTCTTCATGAGCCTTAGTAGGCAGCGTGACGCCACCGTGATCGCTGCTTATGAGGAAGAGTCCCTCTGTGACTCGAAACTAGTAGATTTTTTCTCAGTATATTTACGTGAACGAACTTTCATTTTAAATTAATTTTATAAACATTGCACAGTTGCCGGTATAAGTTACTCCAAATTGTAAAAAAGTTACGAATATATTACCTTTAGATCGAAACTGATCGAGGACGCTAAACTAATTCTAAGTTACACTAGGTATCATAAGGGGCCCATGTTTCCTAAAGGATAGAAACTACACTTGCGACCAAATAAACGGACCCACCAGCACTTTTTCTGTTTTATTTCTTGATAAATATTCTCTGATACAAATATTTTATTAATTGGTAACGTATGCCGTATAAAAGGCAATTTACTTGACTTTAAAATGAACCCTTTTGTTATTTGCGTGAATATACTGAGAAGAGCGAACCACAGAGGGGTTCTTCATCATGAGCAGCGTGCGCGGTCGCGGCGATGTCGCGCAGCGTACTGTATATTCACGTGAGTAACCCGCGATTTGTAGTTAATTTAGTAAGTCTTTATATTTCATAAAATGAAAATAACGCTAGTGGCTCCGTTTCCCTGTTGATATATATCTAAAAGAATATTAGTATTGTAATAGACTCACCCCCTATTACATGTGACTCATAACATAAATAGTGAAAAGTGGGTGTTATATTATATATTATGCACCTCTGTATATACCTCGGGGTATAATTTATGTTTATTTTTTCCGAATTTATACTGAATTATTAGTTTCTAAGGTTCATTTTCAATAAAATTTTATGTAATTAACACATAATATAAAAAACATAATGTCTATGTTAAACAATTTCAATGAGCTCTATTCTACCTATCAAGCCCTTTCGTTTGATATACATAATGGAGGTAGTACTCGTCTTAATGTCGGCAAAATATTTATGTACCGTTGAAGACTGTACACTCTTTATGTACAGGAACGCGGGCGAAGCCGCTGTCAGAAGCTAGCAAAGAATTAAATCATAAACCAAAATCGTTGTTCTTGCCAAATATTTTTTTTTATTACTTAAGTTAGGTATTTTTGTTAATTTAATTTAATTTAGTATAATAATACCATTTAAGTATTTCGAAATTGATTATTTTGTTATAAAAATCGTAATTTCATTAGTTATTTTTCCATTCCTTGCTCATTTTTCCATTCCTTGATTTTTTCCAATATTTGTATATTTTTTATATTAATTATTTTAACTCAGATCTGTAATATGTCTAGATAAAGTGTCCGTATGGCAATAGGCTCACCCCCATTGCATGGGAGTCATAACATAAATAGTGAAAAATTGGTGTTACATTATATATATACTTCTGTATATTCAGGGGCTTTATTATTATTTGCCAAACTGTCCCATCGGGTTTAGACAGTGAGCGAATTCAATTCTTTGCCAGAGTGTATTTCCTGAAGGGTATATATAATGTCTTGAAGGCCCGAGTGAAAAGGTTGCTTATGAGACGACGTGCTCCATCGTAGACCGCATCATCGCTTACCACCAGGCGAGATGGCCAAACGTCGGCTCATCAAACATAAAAACAAAAGGGAATAGAGAGTGTACTAGTGTTTGCGCACACTTATGCACTATAATATCTTCTGCGTAGTGGGTTAGTCTAGTTAGATAGACTGGACACCATAATTAAAATCGATCGGGAGAATTTATTTGCTTACTAATGTTTATTTACTGCCTCGTTGGCCGAGTGGGCGCAAGTGCGACTGCTGGTCAAGAGGTATTGGGTCGATTCCCGGGTCGGGCAAAGTATTAATGGGTTTTAAAAATCTCAGTAGTGGCACGGAGTCTGGAAATGTGCCCGGTATATGGCAATAGGCTCACCCCCTATTACATGGGACTCATAACATAAATAGTGAAAAGTGGGTGTTACATTCTACAGTGGCATTTAGTGCCGTAATGCCTCTGCCTACCCATTCGGGGATAAAAGGCGTGATGTTATTATGTATGTTTATTTAGACATATTACTGTTCCAAGTTAAATATAGGTTACTTAAATATAACTTAGGAAAATGTCGACTTTTTGTTAAATAGCTAATATAAATATAGTATGTATTAGGTAATAAGCAATTCAAATGTAAGTTTAAAAAATAAATTATGTATTTTTTGTAACAAAAACTATTGTTTTATTTTGTCTAGATCATATTTTAAAAGGCATTCCTAATCAATGTCAAGACATTTAGTATATAGGCAAGAAAATAAAAATTGATTCAGTACAGAGACAGTAACCACTGGCTGGCTACTGAGTCCACGAATGGTTACAGAAGATATGACTTCGTTACAAAGCATACAATTTAATATAACAATAGCTACTGTCTCTGTAGTGAATCAATCTTTATTTTATTACCTGAATACTAAATGATTTGGCTGAATATAATTTTCTCAGATGCATATGTCATACAATTTAATATAAATATCCTGAGGCAAAGGCATGTACTATTATATTTTTTGATTTGTTTCAGTTGGAACCCTTTATAGAAGAAGATTCTGGTGATTTGGAAGATACAGAACACCCCAAGTTAACCTTGACTCCGGATGAGGCGACCCCTAATGACAAACACATCAACGGGTCCCCACCAATTTTCAAAAATCAATCTCACGTTGCGTTGGAAGAAAATCCGAAACAGGATTTTGCGAGATCAGCCAGCGCAGTGCAGGTGATGTCCAGAGATGGCGATCGCACCAGGAAACCAACTCCAGTGTCTTCGAGACATGGTCTACAGAATATATCAAGCAAAAGTCATTTGCCCAGCAATCCTTCTCTACTAGAATCTGTCCCTGAAGGCCGTAGCCGTGTGAATTCACAAGAAGCGTTTGGCAAAAAACTAGGAGTCCCAAAAACGCCTAAACGCAGTCCATCTACCTCTAGTTTTCAATACATGTCTACGCCTTTCCACGGTTCAACATTATCAGCTTTTGAAAAACCAAGCGAATTCGCCTCCCAATTCAGTTTAAAATCTGTAACAGATAGTTTAGCCCCCATAACTTATTGTTGTGGTTGTAAAAAGAAGAGCAAGGAAGATGACGCCAAAAAGGAACCTAGCAAGTATTTTGATATACAATTACTCAAAGATCCTATATATTTAGTCATTCTTATATCTAATTGTACTTGCGCGATTTCGTATACAAATTTTATAATCTTAGTACCATCTTACGCTAAGGAATGTGGCTTTGATAAATCGCTTGGAGCGTATTTACTCTCAATTATATCTGCTCTAGATTTGGTCGGCCGAATCGGCGGTTCGGCGTTATCCGATTTGGTTCTCACTCCAAAACGATATTTCTTTATTTTTGGTCTCTTACTTTCTGGTATAAGTTTGTCCGTGATACCGTTAGTTTCGAGCTATTCTGCTATAAGCGCTTTCTGTTCTATATTCGGTATAGCTTCTGGGATTAACGTTGGGGTAACAGCGTTGGTCATGACTGAAATGTTAGGTACGGAACGACTGATGTCGTCATACGGGATTAGTCTCTTTGTAAACGGCATTTTACAGTTAATAGGGCCCCCTATATGTGGATTCTGGTTCGAGTATACAAAGTCCTATAAATCATTATTTGTTACATTAGGGTTCGTCCTAATTTTCGGCGCTGCTTTATGGGGTTTCGTACCTTTAATACATAGGAGAAGGCGTTTAGCCCAAACGAATAAAGAAGGTACAGATAAAGCGTAGTATATAATTCTTTAACAACGGTGACGTCAGTATTTGTAATGAATATATAAATATGTCACTCGTATAAAAGATTTTTCAAAGTGCACCTTATAGTAACGATTTTAAAGTTTAATTTCGTCCCGTTGTCATTATATTATATATGGGGATTTTGATTAAGTATGTACTTATTTTAATTATAAATACTATTCAGTATATCTCAGATTCGAGAATTAATGCGTGATTATATGTATGTACAAATTTCATAATAGCTTAGCTGGCGCTAAGATATGCTGGGTACTTATAAATACAATTATATATAATGCTTATAAATATAATTATAAGATCATGGTTATACATAATATAACAGAAATATAAATATTAGATTTATTACTATAAGACGTTTGTCTTTAAAACAAGTAATACATAAAGATAATTTCTATTTCAAACGGTTTCAATGAGCTCTATTCTATCAATCAAGCCCTTTCGTTTGATATCCATAACTAGCTACTTTCGCGCCGTTGCACCGGCTCTGTTTGGCTCCTATTGATCGTAGCGTGGTGTTATATAGCCTATAGCCTTCCTCGATAACTGGACTATCCAATACAAAAAGAATTATTCAATTCGAACCAGTAGTTTCGGAGATTAGCGCGTTCAAACAAACAAACAAACTCTTCAGCTTTATAATATTAGTATAGATGGAGGTAGTTGTGGACACAATTTAGATTATAATATTGTATGGCCATCAAGATTACGAGTGTGTACCAAATATCAGGGTGCTTACTCTTGAAACCAATCTCAATGTCAATCCAATAAAATCTCAATAATTATTCAATGTCAAAACTATACAACCCCTATCGTAGCTGTTAAAATAGCATTCAGAGTACGGAATTTAAAGCCAAACTCAATACTATTTAGTTCCTTCAATATTCAGGTAATAAGGATGGCTCGATGTGCAGGAGAAGGAACGGGGTGGTGTTTAGTCAGTAAGAGTCTGACACTCCCTCCCGCCTCACCCGGGCGGGAGCAGACATTCGATGATTTTCCCCCCTTAAAAAAAACCCGTTGCGTAGTTTCAAAGATTAAGCTACTACTGGGGATAGCAGAAACCGATTTTGTTGTGTACTATGTAGTGTATATATAATTTTCTATTATATTATGTATATCATCATAATTATAATGAATTATTATACATATAATGGGTATATATTTTTATATATAACTTAGTTATAGTTTTATATATTAGATGTAGAAACGTAAGGGAATGAGATAATTTGTGGTTATAGAATCTTCACCATTTTAAACTGTCAAACACCAAGCGGTCACCGGTGACCGCGACCTATTGTTCTTTAATTGTGTCTATAAAACCGGTACTCGACGAGTTAATAAAGAAATATTAGTTTTAAAATTAATTTTGTGGCTGATGTTCGGCATTAAGCGTGCTGTATTACAGATAGGATTAACTAAAAAAATATGGGTACTATGAGTATCCCTGTATGACTGCCTCGTTGGCCGAGTGGTCGCAAGTGCGACTGCCGGGCAGGGGGTCTCGGGTTCGATTCCTGGGTCGGGCAAAGTACCTACTACTGGGTCGTAAAAAAATCTCAGTAGTAGCACGGAGTCTGGAATTGTGCCCGGTATATGGCAATAAACTCACCCCCTATTACGTGGAACTTATAACATAAATAATGAAAAGTGGGTGTTACTTCTGTGTGCACCTCTGTCTACCCCTTCGGGGATAATAGGCGTGATGTTATGTATAAGTAAACCTCTAAAATATAAAAGCTGTGCCTAATGCCAACATTGGTCCTTTATTTAGTGTATATTGAACCTTATTGTGTAGCATTTATCGTTCATAATCCAAATTATGTCGTTTCCTTATATAATATCAAAGTGGCTGGTTACTTATATTATAAACTAATGTTCTAATATCGATAACACTAACACATATACGCTGCGCCTATAACCGGCATGTGCCGGATATAAGCAACTCCCTATGCGCGGCCATAGGGAACGTCTTAATATAGGCAATTGTTTTAATAAATTCAAATATCCAGTTATTAGGTTTAATTTATATTTTACTATAATAATTAGGTTTTTTGGTCAAGTAGGCAAATATTTTTCAGTTTTCGATACTCTCATTAAACTGGCCAGAGATAGGAATTATGCCCAATGATTAGCAATAATTCTATTCGGGTCTCGGATTCGATTCCTAAGTCTGGAAAAGTATTACTGGGTTTTTAAAAAAATCTCAGTAGTAGCACGGAGTCTGGAATTGTGCCCGGTATATGGCAATAGGCTATGGAGAAGAACGAGCAAGAAACTCCATAGGTTACTCTTTTTCAATCAGGTTCACAATACAATTTACTAGTTACAGTTTTGCTGTTTGGATTGTGCGAGAACAATGTAACACTAAAATCCAGTCAAAGTGATCAAAAAAGAAAATAACCTTAAGGACAATTATACAGTAGTTTGGACTGTCTCCAACACTCCAAACTAATCCTAATCTGAAATTAAAATAATGAGTCTCAAAAAACTACCTCTTTTCAATTATAATTTTATATTCATCATTCATTAATTTCTCATATTTTTTTAAACTGTCAAACACCAAGCGGTCACCGGTGACCGCGACCTATTGTTCTTTAACTCGTCGAATACCGGTTTTATAGACACAATTAAAGAACAATAGGTCGCGGTCACCGGTGACCGCTTGGTGTTTGACAGTTTAATTGTGTCTATAAAACCGGTACTCGACGAGTTAATGTCTCTATGATAAATTGGTTTTATATATAGCTGCTAAACGTATAGTCTTGAATTATCCTAATTTTAATATTACAAGAAAAGTATGAATTAAGAGTGAGCCTCCATTTATCTGTAGCAGTGCGTTCCGTCGTCGCCGCGTCATTTTCCATGTATTTTTATAACATGCCATATAAGAGCGTTGCGTCTTCGCTCGCGACGTTTCAATGAATTGCCGGACATGAAACTAAGCGGGAGGGAGACTGATGCGTTGCATAGACGGACAGTCATCACGTTTGTATCTGAGATGCAGCTCGACGTCGCGCGTGGCTACCGTGCGTGGTGCCGGCGTACAATAGTAGGGGAGCCCACGATGCTAAATTTGGATTTACTTGAGCGTCGTTGGGACCTATTGGATTTTCAAGATATGCTGATAGAGAGAAAAAATGGTTTAGTGACAATTTCTTCCACCGGTGGGGGAAGGGGGAATCCACAGATCTTTGAAATTGTTAAGCGTAACTTTTGTTCTAGTGGTCGAGCGTGTCAGATATTGATAGTGTACATGCTCCATATGTATTTAATAATAAAAAACTCTTAATCTGCCAGTTTGCATGGTGGGGTTGAATGTTCTGGAGAGTATAAACGAGAACCCTTCAAAATCGCCCCACTCTTGCAAATCAAGTTAGAATGGGCAGATCTTTTAAACGCACTTCCTTTAGCATGGTACTGACCTACCTTCCCTTAATCAGACGAAACTGACTTTATTTAGTCAGATTTTTTTTTATTTTTAGTCCCCCCCTTCTAATCAGATCGGATATATGGTGGGTATATTCAACATGACACTAGGTTTTCCCCATATGTTAATCTGACGCGCTCGAGTAACTATGGGCTCCCCTACTACAATGCGTTGTTCAGTTGCGACAACGGGCAAGCGTGACCTCACTAAACGTCTGTAACAGATTCCCTATTACTTGGGACGCATACCTGGTGAAAAGTGGCTGTTGCATTGTATTATGCCCATCTCTGTATACGCCTTCGGCAAATAAAACGCATGAGTTGAACTTATGTATGTGATAACGATAATATAGAATTTGCAAACCTCATATATATTAGTTTTTTTTAATTTTATATTCATGTCTAATTTTATTCGAAACAGCAGCTGTAGCCAAATGCCATTTAGCGGTTGTCTACATGTAGAATAGAAAACCAAATTACCTACTTTATGGGATTGACGTAAATTTTGACCCTTGTCAGTGTCATCCCCATACATTTAGTTTTCTACCCTCTCTGTAGATAAGCGCTAAAGTGGCGTTTGGCTAAAGGCACTGACAAAGAATGTCACAAATGTATGGAGAAAATTATTTTAATTTTTTAATGCTAAGCATTAGACCTATTATCTTGAAATCGGTATACAAAGTAGTATATTATTTTTAAATCTCAGTGAATATACAATTGGTATTATAATTATAATAGTAATTGATAGCAAAGAGCTATATATAACAATTCTACTTAAAGCTGTGCAAAATAAAACGCATGTTGAATGTTAATCGTCAATTTTTATCAAAACAATAGGAATAATTTCCTATCGTATATTTATAATAAAACGGTAAATATGGCTGATACATAATGATTCACAAAACGAGTTAATTCTAACCGTTGGAATAATATCATTTCGAATAATTCGAGTAATATTATTTGGAATAAATCAAGTAATAAAGCTCCATTCTGTTAGTTCACAACAACCTTTTGTATAAATATTCACAAATTAATAAATATATTTTGAAATTCAAATAATTTAGTTATGAATTCTTCGTATAATACAGCTTGGTATTAACGGGATATGGGTGTTTCGATGATTTCGAATAATAATTATGAGTAATGAGTCGAATAATTCGACTAACATTATTCGAATAACTTGTTTATGAGTGTCACCGTTAAGAATGTACTAAAGTACGCCAATGTAATTTCACATTTTACAGGGAAATCCTAACATGAGACCACATTTTGGAAATAACGTTTTTTTGTATCGACACAAAATGTGATAATACAAGGTGTAGTTTTGAAGCCGTGTCATTCCTCGTGGACATGTCACAGAAGTCATAAAGGTTCAATGTAAGAGAAAGTTTCGGGCCAATAGTTAAAAATACGGCTATAATAAATCGTTTAAGTTCAACAGTATTTCAGAATAAGCGACAGCAATGTTTCTTATTGGAGTTTTATGGAATTAGGAATAACATCAATTACGTGTTTGAGTTTGTGTGCGTTAAGCCGCGTTATTAAGCTAG